CAGAGCTAGCCAACCAGAGCGATCGTCGTCGTCGTCGTCGTCGTTGGAGTAGGCAAGCGCAATTAGCAGTCGCATTTACGATGCCTACTGGCGCAACTCCCGTATTTTCCCACGGGCAGAGCCGTGAGAATAATTCATGGGCTTCTGCTCCTGCACCGAACCCGCGGCTGCCGCGACGAGAGGGACGAGGGGCGGGGAGGAGGCAGGCAGGGAGACAAGGAGGAAGGGAGAGATTTTAGAGGCGGAACTGTACCGGCTACTCGGTAGCCAGCATCGTCATAAATTCGCGCTGAAAGTGGAAAAACCCAAAGGGAGGGGGAGAGAGGAGGGAGCGGGGTGTCTCTCTGTACGAGTCTGGCTCGTTAAACAAATGGGGGATGCACGGCGGCTTCTCTTTAGCGGTCACTCCCTCTTTGAAAGAATTAATAATATCACGTTTTTGACCGGCGCCTTGGTCCTTCGCGTCGTGCGTTTTGCCTCCCGCTTTTCTCGATTCTCGAGCTCTCCGTGCGAGATGCCATCGAGTAAGCAGCAATTTTATTAGCTACACATTGCTCGGACCGAGACTTTCGATCGAATTCTAGCATCGTCGACACCAATTTGATAGACGTTTGCTACCGACCTCTCTCGAAAAAGCCCGCAACTATTTCCACACGCCATACTGCTCTTCTTCTAAACTTGGATTTCTGGACTTGCGTTTATTAGAAGTAATCTTTTTTCCTAGGCTATTAATCTTAATTCTTATTGCACGATGTTGTTCCTATATGCTGTCCCTAGAGTACGCTGGTCTCATTTTGTATATATTCATTGTAGAATTCTTGCGTCAAGCAAACATTGTCGTCAAGTGTACCAAAACTTAATAAAATGTTTAATCTTCTTTTCGTTTTTGACATCAAGTCGACCAACATAATTTAGATTTTGCTGCGTACTTTAATTCCGCAAAAGAGTTTTGCGTTTCTATAAAGCCAATTAAAAGATTACTTCTAACGAAGAATGTCGATAAAACAGACGGCTTTAGGATCCCCTTAAATAACCCGGGCTGGTCTTGACATTTCGTGAAGGAAAGCCTGAGCGGTTACACGCGAACGCCCACGTGGAACGCCCTACGGGCGAAAGTATCAATCACGGGCGAGCCAAGTGTCGGAGCGACGTCAATCTGGACGCGCGGGGGGGGGGGGGGGGCGCAGGGATTGACACTGTCACAACGTTACGACTGCTGGGGTTCGATGTTATCGGATCCCGTAATCGCCATTAAACCATATCCATAAATTAGCATACGATCCCGCCGACCCCTAACTCGTTTTGCCCTGATCCTCTCGGTAGCGGTAGACTACTGAAATCCCGTTATATACTCGAATGTCGAATCCAGAGAACAACGCGCGGCGCGTCGGGAATTATCCCTCCCGCGCCGAGGATTCGTCGGCGATCAAAGGATTAGAATCCTGCGGGATGCGACCGTTTTCAAGCCTAATGTCGACGTCACGGCGCGGCAGTGCGTCGCGTCGCCGCGTGAATCATCGCGTCGTCGGACACGCCGAGAGAGAGAGAGACACACACACACGCACACACAGTGAGAGAGGGAGGGAGGGAGGGAGAAAGCGTGTCGGAGGACAACATCCCCCGGCACTCGTTTCCGCGCTCGCGGAAATTTCGCGTAGACCCGCGCACGTGCGCCGCCAGGCGCGAATGGCGCCATAAATTCACGTGTCGTTCTGAAACGTTTACCCTTCCGCCGCCGACTCGCATTTACGACCGTAATTACTTATCCCGGATAATTTAGTCGCCAGCTGTATTCATTGATATCGCGTATACGCGCGCGCGCGCGCGCGGCAACCGTCCGCAATCCGCGGCCCGGCGTAATTCGCAATTTTCTAATAATTGTTGCTCACCCGTGCTGTACCGCGCCTCGCGGGAATTAACGCGACCGCGCGCGTTTCCGCGTTTTTAATTTAACGCTCCGCGGCCGGGTTTAAACTCGAGAAGCAAGACGTCGCTCCATCCGCCAACAATGATCAACCGCGCGAGAGCTGAACGGGAGTGGAAATGATAATTCGATTGTATGAAAGCAACACCATCGATATAATTATCTATCTTTAATTCTACGAAGAGACTCGCACAGATTAATCCGAGAGGGGAAGAGAGGGGGGGGGGGAGGGAACCGGGGAGGAGAGGGAAAAAGTCGCTGGTCGTTTTTATTTTTATCTTCCCCGGCTCCTTCGCGCTTCGAAGAAACAATCCAAGTTCGCGTGTCTCGCCGCCCGATGCTATCGCGAACGAGCACGTACAAGACGCTTTCCACGGCGCGGCAGAGGCGAGGAAGATGCGCATTCCCATTGTCCGGAGTGGGGCCGGCACTCCGGCGTAAAGACGCGTTCTTTACCACCGTAATTCCGTTTCTCACGGCGCGCAAACAGCCGTGGCTGCTTTCCGCGCGGCTGCAGTTTTTTGCCGCTGGCGTTTAGGAAAGTATTTACGATCTCGCGTGAGGCGATTGTCATAATCGTATCGTTGAAGCGCGAATAACGGTGCCCGCCCGTTTGCTCGCTACGCGATGGAAAGAATCTATTAAAGAGACCGACACGTCGCCCTCCTCGCCGCTTCGTCCATTTGCGTTCTCGCGAGAATAATTCGCTAAATGTAGACCGAAACCGCTTACGCACAATAGATAAAGGGTGGCAAGGTCCTCTTCATCAACCTGACAACTCTTAGGCATCGATATTCGAAGGGGTTGACGCCGATTGCATCAGTGTGCACGTGCCGTGGCACGTGTACAAAAATAATGTAATAAATATAATCATATGCACGTATAGATCAACCGTCCATCGCCGAGGAACTTTCGTACGACGGAGACTGCCTGGGAATGTCCACGTGGGCTACCCTTTAATAAATTTTCTATTAACAAGCGCCATTGAACGCACACGAGACAGTAAAGCAACCACGGTCGATACGCGGATATAAAAGTTTCATCGATCCGTTGAAATGTTTAATCGCAACTCTTCGCTAGTCGGAAATTCCACGTTGTTCGACTTATAATTAAGCGAACAACGGACGGTACATTTAACCGTATCAACACTAATTAATAACGAGGCTAAAGAAACTCCAGGGTGGTCTCGGCAAACCGCGAGCGACGATAACGGCGCTTTCGTCGTAGTTCTCGCTCGGAAGAACTTTCCGGCGCGGGGAGCGCCGGGAAAAAGTTGGCGAGTAAAAGCGGAAAGATCGCCGACGAGTAAGATAAATGCAATCTCCTTTCTTAATTTCTGGATTAACGAAGAGCGCGGAGGAGGAGACTCGAGGCTCTTAGAAATCGACACAAGTCGAAGGTAGGTCTCGCGAGATGCTCATCGAGAAATCGCTCTCTTTCTCTCTCTCCGTTCGACCTCCGTAAAAAGGGACGACAAAAAGAGACTCGAGAGAGAAAGAGCGGGATAAATTCGTTCGCGCTCGCAAGCGTCGCAGGAGCCGTCGTCGAAAATTCGCGCGACTGCCGTCCGCGAGAGTCGCGGCGTGTATCGCGCTTTTCTCACCAGGTTTCGATTAACGGGAAATCAAGACCGCTTATCTCGCGAAGGCGTGACATAATATCGCCGTCGAAGATCGGACGCGCCGGAGGTGAACGAAGAATGGCAAATCGATTCTGTACGAGATAGCCTTGCGTATCGGCGAGAAGATTGACTTATTGATCGAGCGTGAGTCTCTCTCCCCGTCGAGCCGGGGAAAGGAGCGCCCGCCGACATTGGATACAGCTCGACGATCTTACGTCTCGCAACATCCGATCCCGTGTTTGTCCGCGGAGAAGTGTTCAGGTGTTGTCCAATCAGTCTTCAGAGCGAGCCGCTGATGCTCCGCGAGCATCGTGTTTCGCGATATTTTATCGGGAAATTGATTGATCTGGAGTCCGTGATCCGCGCGGGACAAAGGGAATCTCATCGCGCGCCAATTTCAGTTGCAACTTTGCGATAATCATTTAAATACAATGACTGATCTCGTGCGGCGTACTTACCTTCAGAATGTTTTCCACGTCCGGGGTATCGATCAATGATCGCGAGTTAGACCCCTGAAACAGAAGATTAAGAGATATTAGTTGCGATCTTGTAACTTACTTATCCCTCGTTTATCGTGTATCTCACTGACACAATTAATATTAATCGAAACAGAGAGGTGTTTCTGGAGGAGTAGAAAAGTGAACGGTGAAAAAGAAAGTTGCGTCGGCTCGAATTTGGATCAATTTCCCACGCGAAGTTAAACAAGATTCACTTCCTCGAGATCGAGCCGAGTCCTTCTACGCGTGGAAATAAAAATTCGAAGCGTCTCGTACTAATTTATACAGACGAGTGCGCCCTCCTCGCGAGATTCCTCCGCGATTTATCACGAGCCTCCTCGAGCGATCATTAATCAACATCGCCGCGAAGGGGGAGGCATTGAAAAGGGTGCGGTAGGAGCGAGACGGGCGGGAGGACACGTCCTAAAAAGGGTGATATTACGAATAACGGCGAGTAGTCATTCCCGGAAAGAAAACGCGGGAACAATGGAGAATGCGTGAGGATAGCTGAAGCGCCGGATGACGGCGGCTGGGGGAGCGGGAGAGAGGGGGAGAAAGGGCGACAGGGATGCGAGGGAAGGGTTGAGAGTGTCTACTAACTTTTAGCCGGAGGACACCGCGTCGCGGGAGGACGGGGCGAAAAACGGAGGCAGGCGAGACTGGATAATCACAGGAAAAGGAACGAGGGAAAAATGGGGAAAGCCGGAGCGAGAGGCGAGAAAAGGGCGGCAGAGATATACTTGTATTATCACGCTCGCGAGCGGCGAGACGCGCGCGATAAATACAGAATGCACGGTGATGTTTAAATTATTACGGATCCGAAAGAATCCCGCTCGAGCCTGCTTACAATTTACCCAATCGAGTGTGTAATTTCATTATTTCATTTTAGCTCCGCGCCGCGCCAAACGGTTATTTAGTGAGAAGAATTGTTAGACGACATTAGGCTGGCAGATGGTTTATTTGTTTCATTCTGACGTTTCGACCGTTGTGGTCCTTCTTTCAAGAAATTTGATAGTAAATCGTCATCGATATTAAATTAAAAACGGAGGTTTGGCATCCATCTCTGGGCGTCACTCGGTAAACTATGTTCAAAGGCACATCGATCCGACGTAACGACCACAGTAGGGCATATTTCCAACAAGCACGCGCAAACAAATGTCGGAATATTTATGAGGGGATAAAGAAACAACAAGCGTGGGTGTAAACCGAAATAAGGAAGTGGGACATAAAGAAAGGAAGAGTGACGTGAGAAAATCTCGAGATATATTGCTTTCATTAACGGCGCTGGGCGATACTCGGGCCGCGAATTTGCCCCCCCGGTTGACAACCACGACCACATCCCTCTTTTCCCCCTTTTACCTTTCTTCACGCGTAATTCCAAACTAATTTCGCGGATGAGAACGAATGGCCAACGACTCGGCAGCGAACGATCCCCATTGTCGAAGGAAGAGCGGGGAAAAAAAATGCCAGAACAGTGGGTGGAGCCGCGAAGGGACGGACGGGAATCAATTTTCCGGGAGAACGCGAAGAGGAGGGAGGAGAAACGGGATGCCCCTCACACCCCCGATCGGTTCTAATTGTATAAGTACATCCGGGGAAAGAGAGGTACCTCTCAAAGATGGGCAACGTGTGATCGGAGGAGGGACGATGAAGGAGGCACGAAGGAGACACGATCGATAGTCAATCTCAATGAAATTTGCACCTCGAGGAGCTAGACGTAATAGCGCCCGCCGACTCGAAACTCCGATCTCTCTCTCTCCCCCTCTCCCCTTTATTCCTCCCCCACGATCTGGACCGTCCCCGGCCTTGCTAGATTTCCATTGAAAAGCAATTCGTTCTCTGTCAACGAGTGCCTGTCGAGCCAACTGGTTTCGTTTGATACCCGCCGGATGATCTCGGAATAGAAATTCAAAGTCGGCGCGAAGGTGGGGAGAGAATGGGGATAATAATAACCTCTTTATTATGGCTCCTTGGTGATTAATGCCACGGCTGCTTGATCTTCCTCCCGCGATTTGCGATCGGGGAGGAGGGCACGTCGTGATTCGCTCGTTTGAATGCGGAAACGAATAGCGCTCGAGACGCCGAGGAGTGAATCGATAACTGAAGGCATATTGATGTAACCGAACAATTCCCAGTATCGTTAATTTATTAAAAAATACGCGTGGCTCTCGTACATTCAAAATCATTGCAATAATTGCTTGTTGCGCCAATCGCGAATTGCCGACGCGCTTGGCGCACATCGAACACGCTGGTTAATTAGATTTCGAAAAATTATCCGACGAACGACGCCGAAAGATCGAGATCCTCGATATTTCGGGACTTAGCATCGCGTTGTTATAGCGGACTTTAAAGAGTAATTAGAAGTACACGGGGAGGATTATCGGCGAGCATAATGATTTCCAGCAACTTGTTAATTTCGACAGTGTCTCGTTTAGTAACGCGCGACAATAGCGTCAGCCGCCGCGGAAACTTCGCTCTTAATCTTCTTACGTGACAAATAATCGCAACTCTTGGCGAGACGTACTATTAAAGTAGTTCGGGACTTTGCGAGTCTGGCATCGCCGCGACGTCACCGCCGCGACTGGCGGCACTTATCGAGGGACCGCTAATATCGTGTGAATTTGACAATGCGTTAAATAAAAAAAAAAGTCTACGCACTCGACGGAACAAAGGAACAATGCTCCAACTCGCGAGTCTTAATTCTGGTAAAATGACCCGCGGCGCTTTCTCCATTGCGATCCAAGCGCGAAGGATATTACAACGATCAATTACTCTTGAAAATAACGTATCCGCGACAGCCCGCGCAAGTCCCTTATCGCGTACGTGACACGAGAAATTCCGATAAAGAATTACAAATAACACGAGAGATTCACAAACTGCCTACTCAGGGCGGTATTCACCTGCTCCTTTAGCGTTGAACGCATCAATTACAGAAATTGCCGGGCGATTATTTATTTCTCAATACCACCGGAACGCTTTCAAGCTTCAGATTAATCTTCACGCTGCTCGACGTGCATGCGAGATATTCCAGAAATTATGTATAAGCATTCTTCATTCATATGTTCGCGGGTCGGTACTTGCGATCATTTTTCATACTCGCCGGTCTAGAATTCACTCTTTCGCGGCGGAGTTAACCAAGTCAGCGAAGAAATCGATAGAGAGAAGAACTTTAAATGCTGTCGTTTTATAATCCGAAGAATAATCGTAATTTTCTTGTTAAAATAGAAAAATGTAAGTAAATTCCACCGTTTTACGCGATTAAAACAAATATAAAGCGTCAGTCGGACTAATTATAAAATTTTTGCGTACACGTTTTTCTTTTTACAAAGCAAACTGCACGTCGATAACTTTTGGTTTTGAAACACAGGTATTAAACTAATAACGAAGTAACATACATAATTAAAAATTGATAATCAATTTAATATTATTCTCAAAATTCTTCGGAAACGCACACGGTAAAGAACTTAGTGCGAAAAATAGTGACTAAAAAGATATAAAGCCGTCTCCTTTATTTCGTTATACACATCTTTGTCCGATCTCAGTCCATATATTTCCTCTTTTCGTACATTTCTTATCTTTTCACATTCGTGACAGATTCTCAGAACTTCGGCCAGTGCGAAACCTCTTATTGTACCTACTTGACGCTGTTACGTCAAAGCCTCTCGATCGCTATCGTTCTTTCGACCCCGCGGTATCTATGTCAGAGGAAACACGCGACTTCCGGGACACCCCACGTGCAAACAATCTCCAGTCGAGGCAAAACAATCAAACCCACGTTACACCCGAAAAGCCATTATCGTCCACTCTCGGGAAAACGGACGGCCATCGCGCATGCAAACCGTTGGCAAAATTATTCGAGCCGCCCGACCGATGGTCGGCGCGCACGAAGGAAGGATAGAGACGCAAAGGATCGATTACTCACGTTAACTTCGATGAGCTTCAGTCGTCCGGCGAATTGAGTGCGGCTCGCGAGGCCGCCGCCGCCGCCGCCGAGGTTGCCGGCACTTCCGCCGGAGTTGCCGATCGACAGCGCGCCGTTATTCCCCACGGGAGAGGGCGGGTGCGGTTGGGACGGCGGCGGGCCCTTGGCCGGAAGCAAACCGTGGCTGCGATGATCGTTGCCGCCGCCGCCGTGCTTGACTGGTTGACCGGGGTAGGCACCCCGGCCACCATAAGACGGCTTGCTATCAGCGGGCTTGACGAAGCCGCCCCGTTGCTGATGGCCCGCGCTCGACGAGGAAGACGCGGCGCTCGTGCCCCGTAGCCCACCAGGTTTCTTGAACTCTTGTCCGGTGGACGGGGAACAGCTCCTACTGGAGCTATCCGTGCCCGATTTGTGGGCGGAGAGCGCTGGCGAGGGCGCCGGCGGATTCGCCGCGATGCCATCGATGCCGATCAAGCGCTTAGGCTTGTCCATTAGATGCTTCACTAGCATATAGTTGCCCAGCTTAGATTGGATTTGTGGATCAGGATTCACCTGAGAAGGAGAAGAGAAATAGAGACAACATTAGTTGTGGTCTATTTCAAAGATCGCGAAGGCCTGTTAGATTCTATGTTGCAGTCGACTTAAAAACTCGAAAGTTTGGATTAAACTACTTTGAACCGCGGAAAAGATGGCAATAGTGTAATAATGGTATTCGTTAATCGTTAGTTTCAAGAGTTAAATCTTGCTTAATTTTGGGCTCTTAAAACTGAAGGATATAATAACTAAACTATGGAATTATATTCTTTTTTACTTAAGAAAGAAGGGGTATCGGATAAAAATGTAAAGGGTTCGGGAACGCTCCCTATAAAAGCGCCAATCGACATTGTAACCCCAAGGGGAATCAATAAATATTCTATTCTTCTTCTATTCTACTTAAGAAAGACTAATGTGATTATCGAAGAGCTGAAAATGCCTTTTCGCGCAATCTGGATTTTATCACTCAATGTTGACGAAGATTCGCTGTTAATAACTGTGAAGAAAGAAAGCTGGGCGACAAGTATCTAGCTGGCATTGGATGATTGCATAAGTTCGTGACCGATTTAAAGATAAACTTCAGTAGGTTAAATCTGAAAGAATACAGCTTTATTAATCAGTTATACAGTCTCCATTCTTCTCTACAATTGTTTTCCAACGATCTACAAGATGGCGATTCCACTTTTGAAGAAAGGGCTCGGTCTTCTTTGAAAAAAGTTTGCGAGAAGTATTCTGCAAAGACCGGAACAGATGATAATCCGAAGGCGCAATATCTGGAAAATTTCCCGTTGCAACTCCTGCAGTTTTCGCAGCGTCCGTTGGGCGACGTGCGGTCTAACATTGTTGTGGTGGAAGACGATGCCTTTCCGATTGGCCAAAACGTTTTTCTCGAATAACCGCATCGGGTCTAGCGTGTTGCTCACAGCACTTGTCCGCCGTGATTGTTTCGCCGCGTCGGAGTAGCTCGAAGTGAATAATTCCCCTGCATTCCCACCAAACACACAGCAACATCTTCATTGGATGCAGGCCAGCTTTGGCGACAGGTTCTGCACCTTCAGCTACTTTTCTCCAGGTCCCTCTTTTGCTGTACGTTGTTGCACAGAATCCACTTCTCATCGCCTGTTACCGTTCGATCCAAAAAGGCTCTTTTTTGTTACGTGCGAGAAGAGAAATGACGACATTCATGCGGTTCAGCTTATTCCTTTCAGTCAAGAGCTGCGGCACCCATGTATCGAGCTTGAAAACGCATCCAAGCTTTTTTAAATGGCGATACGCGGTCGAATTATCGATTTTCAGCCACTCAGCTATCTCCTCAGTTGTAATCCTTTGGTTTTTTTCCACTAAGGCACACACAATGTCGTCATCAATGCCAGGAGGACGTCCAGAGCGGAGTTGATCTTCCAAGTTGAAATCATCACTTCGAAATCTGCCAAACCACTTTTTACCCGTTTGACCGAGGAGGAGCACAGTCCAAATAAACGCACTGAATGTATTTTTTGTACAGTCCCAACACACACGCCTTCCCGAAATTCGTATGGTATACATGCAGTAAATGCACCTTTTTGTTCTCCATTTTTTTTTAAATTTCTCTTACGCACAAATCGACTTATCCGAACGGTGCTTGACGCTGAGGTGATACAAGACACTGTCATCTGTTCCGTACATGCAACATAACCAAACAAAAATATCGGAGCTCCGCCATGCAGTAAACGCTATTTGTGAAAATCGGGCACGAACTTATGCGATCATCCAATATATCCTTTTTTAACGTCAGTGTTTTCTTGACCATATCTGGCTTGTTTTAATAACACAGAAAATTTATTGCAAAAAATATTACCTCAGCTAGGGTATCCTTTCTTTACTTAAGAAAGACTAATGTGAGTATCGAAGAGCTAGAAAATGCCCTTTCGCGTAATCTGGATGTTATCATTCAACGTCGAAGGAAAATCCGCTGTTAATAACTGCGAACGAAGAAAGCTGGGCGCCAAGTATCCAGCTAGTATCTCAACGACAAGATTCCTCGACGAGTTACCAATTAGCGCATTTTTAATTAGACGACCACAGGGGAAGTTCTCAATTAACTTAGCGAATCCCCACATAAAGCTGCTAATTGCTGCTTAAGCTTTCACCGGGAGAAATTCATTTCGTCGCCGGGAAATCGCGGTGACAAGTTACATCTCAGATGGTACGCGCCTAAATGGAACACGACGGTCGCGAGGGGTAATGCAAGGGTGACGAGGTACATAACGAATCAATCATGTCACGGTGGCACGCCGTAAGCAGCCTCCGCTCCCGTCATTTATCAAACAAAGATCGGCTGCGGGACGCAGCGAGATGCAGCGATCGAAGTCGCAGCCGCCGATACCGTCGGCGAATATTGATTGAGTCTAACAACGTGCGCACGTATACAAGGTGTTATGTAATACCCGCCTCACCTATTATTTGCGGATAGAGCGGACTAAACTGAATCGAAAAGTTCTGTACCATTTTGCAATTTTCGCAATAGTTAACGAGTTATTAATTATTAAATCTCGCTGTCTTAGCCCGGTCTTAGCCTTAGGCCGCGATCGGCATTGCTAAGCGCGCGAGGAGTTGTTTGCTATACGTAATCGTCGCCGTGTGTCTTAAACAACTTCCCGCGCGCCTAGCAACGCCGATCGCGGGACGGTCTAAGGCTAAGACAAGGCTAAGACAGCGAGTTTTAATAATCAATAACTCGTTAACTATTGCGAAAATTGCAAAATGGTAGAGGACTTTTCGACTCAGTCTATTACGCTCTAGCCGTAAATAACAGGTGAGGCGGGTATTACATAACACCCTGTACACAGACATAAATATTGTATATACGTGTATGTGTACGTATACGTATTTACACATTCTCAGCCGCGCACTGATTGCACGGGCAATTAGCAAAAATTAATGCGTCGAGTCCGGAGGAGCCTAGGCGGCTGCCGAGTTTACGACACACAGTGTTCGACTGGTAATTTAACGTGTAGCTCGCGCTAATATGAATCACGTTTGTTGTACGTGCGCAATAATACCACCGCTGTTCTCGCCGTGTTTCGCGCGCGGCGCGCAACCGCGCGCTTCGTCTTTGTCCGTTAAAGACAATGAGATCGAATCGCGGTTTAATAAGGAGGTCGGCGAACGGCGCGCGGGGTGGCGCAGCCAGGAGGGGGAAACTTAACGTGATTAATGAGCGCCGCTATAAATCACGTCCGCTTGTTAGCGCCGGAAGACTTTTTCGCGCCGATCGCCCTTGTAACGAAGGCGCTCGACGGCTCCCCCCTTTCCCCCCAATGCGCTATCCAGCAGGAATTTCGGGAAGGGTCAGCCCGACGCGCGCACTTACGCGAGAATAATCGACGCGACTGATCTCTTTCGTAAGGTCGTATCTCGATTTTGCGCAATTTTCGGTTTCTCTGCTTAAACGCTCGTTTAGGACCAGAATGAGCGTTTAAACGGAAAAGCCGGAAATTGTGCAAAATCGAGATACGACCTTGCGAAAGAGATCAGTCGAACGGGAACGTTGAAGTGACTGTTGACGCCGATTTTACAGCGGCGAGCAAATAAATACAAGTACAATCATCGAAAAGCGAACAATGCAATTAAAGCGAACGAAGAAGCGCGAATGCCCGGTAAGAAATAATCCTTGTTATAATTCGAGTAAAAGAGGAAAAATCGCTGCTGAAATAAACGCGTCCTAAATCATTCACCGTTTTTCGTGAATCATCCTACGACAGTCTCCGTCCCAAAGGCGCGACAGGACATTGACCTGTCTCGCTAATTAAGCCCCGAGGTGCCGCTTCTGCCACAAAGTTTGCGGTAGCGTAAAACGCGACGGAGAAAGAGAGAGAGAGAGAGAGAGAGAGAGGGAGGGAGGGAGAGAGGACGCGAGGAGAGAAAAAGATACAGCGTAGATGACCAGGTCAGGGACTTTTCATCCGCCCTGACCTCGCTCAATCTCGTCTCCGCCTCCAGCCAGTCATCCACCCCCGCCAACCACCGCCCGCTCGTCGAGTGGTGCTCCACGTGTATGCCACCTAGCAGCGTGCTCCCGTGCGTACACTGGACACACGTACGCGACCAGCGGGACCAGCGCGCACGAGGTATCGACGACAACGGCGTAAAACGGCCGTAATTATAGCGCGGCGTGTAACGTAAACGCCATATTGCGAAAGACGATACCGGCCGGCGATGAAAATGCTCGCAACCGCGCGCGCGGCAAATCGATAAACCCCGCCGCTCCGCCTTGCCGGACGAGACCGCTGAAGCCCGAGCACGTGTAGCAAACGACTCTCGCCGGGGACAGGATTGCGGGGGGGGGAGTCTTCTTTAGAGCGGATCGACAGATTATACAGTCGATGGAAATTAATGGAAGATACAAATTGGGGAAATTACGACGCGAGGGCGAGCTCTCGTAGCGGACTTTCATTGAGGGGGGACCCCCACTCGGGAACTCGAGTACATCTCGGCCAGCTCCAAGTTTCTCGGAGAGCTTCTGACACCGCGCTTCTTTCTACGATATTTTTTTTACCAACAGCCTGGTACGTATTCATGGATGCATAAATCCACCCGTGAATGTCTCGAACAAAGAGATATAAAATCAGAAACAGCCAAGGAGATGACTGTTGCGCGAGGTAACTTCGGTTCCCTCCTCACGTACAAACACGCACGCTGGTGAGCAATCTCTCCCTCTCTCTCTCTCTCTCCCTCACTCTTGCGGCTGCCGGCATTCTCTGTATCGCGAGTGCCAGGCAAATATCGACGTCACGGTGCCTGCACGCGAAAACACCGGCCGTCACACGCGCGGTCGTGCGGTATTTATGAGTCTGTGCAAACTCGCGCGACTCGACGCGGCGAATGTATGAAAGCGATTCTCGCGCGCGAGCGTCGCGGCTCCGATCGAGAGCGGATGTCCGATCGAGCTTTGATCCACTTAACTGACACATCGCGCCCCATCGAACGCACATTCGTTGCGTGCGACATGTTCCAGCGCGCGAAAATTGCGCGTCGCG